GAAATTATCCATGTCAAGGATGCCTCAGTCATTACTTATACTATTAGTCAACTCATCTCTTGTGAAGGCAGCAAAACTCTATCCATTTGGCATTTCCCCCATCCCCTTTGACAAATACTCATATGGCTGGCAGACTGGTAAAGGCCATGCTTTATTGGCTTCTGCAGTTAAAATCCAATTTCCTTACACTCCCTTGAACAATGAAGAGGCTATCCATGCAGAAATCCCTGAAGACAAGGTGTAACATCTTGTTAGTACCAACATCATTCTTAGACACTGGTGTTGCCATGTAGAAATGCACAGATGCACCTGCTCAGGCTTCACAGGCTGCGTTATCATATTGTAAGTATAGCACTTATCACACATCATTTCTGTTTTCAGGTTACTTGCTTTAAAAAAAAACTGCAGGGGGAGGGAGAAATCTCTCTGACTTTCGGATCTCTCTGCTTCGTTATGGGAAGGCAACCTATGTTGCATATTCTTGCTTCTTGGAGCCTTTCAAAGTACTGGAGACTGGGGGCAGCCTCGTGTCCTATAGATCTGCAAATGCTTAAACTGACTAGCAAATGCTGTGCCTATTTTCCTGGGTTCCGGAGGGATTTAAGTAGATGTTTTCTTCCCTGAATATGATGAATGGTACAGCTAATGTTTAGAGAAATAGTCCCCAAATTTAATGTTTTATTTGAGGCTGAGTTGAGAGGCTTAGGAAACACCTTCAGTACATGCATAGAAGTATTCAGATTGCTTTTCATACTGAGAGTGGATTAATTCTCCCTGTAGAAGATTTAGTATTCTTTCCCTTTTTAAAACCTGCTTTACTTCTACACATTTCTTTACTCTCTTGAATCATTTCCTCAATGGCAGCTTTCCAATTTTTCTCTTTTACAAATGTCTCCCCAGGTTTCATTTTGTTTCCGCCTCCTTCCCAGAGGTTTCCCATACTTGGGTGTTCCATACTGAATTTTCCCAGTTGCCTCTTCTTGCAAATTCATTCACTCCACCCAGAACTCAGTACTAATTTCATGACTTTTATTCTGTTTCTCCTGCCCTTTCAGTCTGTGTTGAATGATGAGCCAGGCTAACATGTGTGATGGAAGCGGGGGGGGGGGGGATGGCTGTTTCGGCCACCTTTTCCTCCCAGCGTGCAGTCACACTACCCCATAGGATGGATTACTGACTGTGGCTTCACCAAAAGGATGGTGACTTCAGGAGGCAGTGGCAGGGGGAAGGAGGCCATCGTTGTGCATGGGTGGTAGCTAAGTTTGTAGGAACAACTGACAAGGATGGGCATCTGACAAGGAGTCAGCAGATGGAAGGGAAGAGGAGGAGAACATGATGGACAGCTGAGAGCCGTTGCTGTTAAATATAAATGTTTGTGTTGCTCATTCAGTTCGGGTGAACTGATCATAAGGGTGTGGAGAAATTTGTACAACTTGCATTTTGAAGCAGACTTATTTAATTTTGAATTTCTGAACTGCCCTGTGACCCAACATTCGGTTTTCTTTTGAAATCCACACTCCTACAAGTTTTATACTGAAGTTTTCCCACAATGTGTATATAAGAGAAATACACAACTGATGCAATTGAAGATGCATCAAAATAGGAAAATGGCCTGCAATGTGTATATTGCAAAATGTGTATTTTGCAAAAATTCAATGAAAATGCACATATTAGGAGAAAGGTAAACACATTTTTATGAATTTATTTGACTATTTGTTTCTCATCATTTGGGATGAAGTGAACTTTCTTGTGCTATGGTTGGCATGAAATTTTGGGATCCAATATAGAATGTTCTCTAATGCCCGGTTGTTGTAAATGTTTTGCTTGCTCAGTTCATGATGGTCCTCCTCAGCCATCACAGTTTTAGATATATCCTAAAAATGACATAATTTATTGATACAGTTTGGATCGATATAAACTATCAATATAGTTTATTGAGATAGTTCAGTGTGAGGGTTTTTTATTATTTTCAAACAACTGTCTTTGAAGGGAAAGTAACTATATCCAGAGGCATCCTATATTATGTTATGGATTGTTCATTTTGTCAAATAATGTAATGTTACTGTCAAATCCTTAGTTACCATCCAAACTTTGGCTATTGGGAGGTAAATAAATTAAATACACACTAATAAAAGAATAATATAAACATGGACACATTTTCATTCATTATTTTAGTATGGAATTTGAAGACTGTATCGAATAATATCATTGCACTACTGAAAATAATGCTATGCCAATAAGAACATAATATAATGTAATATAATAATATTGCACAATGCTAATGTTGTTAGCTGATCCACTAAAGATTCTTTTGCTGGTGCAACATAATTCATATTAGTGCAATGACATCATTAGAAACTATCCCTATATAGATGCATTCTTAGCAACATACATCTTTTCATTCACTTTTCTTTTTCTTAATACAGCTTTTGGTCTATGTAGTATTACAATAATTTCTATAAAAATAAATGCATTGCCGTTTTCCAGTCATTTAAACACATTCTGGGCCTATGTATACTGTTAGTAATCCTTGTTAAAAGCTTCCAGTTTGCTATGTTATTAATTTTGTAACTCTGGGATATCATTTATTTGGGACACGTGCTTTGTCAACATTTCTAATTGCCTAATTATCTGCTCTGTTGCTGAAATAATGCTTTAAACATATTCTCCTCCCACTTTGCCTACTTGCATGTGAACTTAATATGTTCCTTAGCCTAAGCTTTCAACAAATGAATTTTAAAGTTCATTAAGATAAAGTTAATCAGATAGAGGAATTGATTTAAACAAGTTCAGAAGCAATCTGCACATAAGTCTTATCTCTATGGACATCCCCTTTGGTAGTTCTGTCTTCATCCATTATGAATAGTTGAAATATCATTCAATTTTCTACCCACGGTACAATTAATCTGCTGAGTTAGGTTCTGCTAATTATAACTCTTAATCCGTACTTCAGAGCACAACAGGGGACAAAATTAACCAATTTGCTTGGAAAATTTTACTTTGATGGTTCATTTTTCTCTGTCTCCCTTTAGAGTGACAATGAGGAAAGTAATGAGTGTAAATGCATAGTTTACAAAGAGATCTGGGTATTATTGGATTGTTATTTTCTGTTGTATTTTCAGTTGCTGAGCACTTATGCAACATTGCTGCAGATTACTGAATCCGAGGTGGTTAGCCAGGGATCTTATTTCTCTACTTATAATTCCTTAGATTTGCACCAAAAATAATTTAATCAATAATAGCGTACAAGTTTAGCTATTTCTTTTAACATCTTCAGCTATTACCAGTGATAAAGGTTTTCAGGACTACTTTACATTGCAAAATGCACTGTAAGACATTACACAGTGTTATATATATGGAAATCTTGATTTAACATGTTTCTTTTACTTACATATAGTAAACAAAATTAAAGTATGTCACCTTTATATTATGAGATCAAGTTCAATGTTAGTCTTATTTAGTGTACACTCACTGAAATAAATGGGCTTAAGGTAGTTACAAATAACGTATGTGCCGTTTATTTCAATGGGTCTAATCTAAGTAGGACTAATACTGTTATTAACCCATATGCTATACACAGATCTGAGGGTTTTTATTGCTTTTCTTTTTGGTGGTACTATAGCCAAAGGTAATCGAATTAAAATATACTGGGATGACCAAATGAATCAATTGCATAGTGTGGTTTTTAAATTGTTTCAGACTTCAACAGAAAGTGATGGACTCTCCTTCATTATTTAAGCAAAGGCTGTATATCCACCTATCAGGAGTTGTTGTAGTAGAAGATTGCCTGCATTGGCACAGAGTTACATTCGATTAACCTTTGAGTTCCTTTCGAACACTATGTTTCGTTCATTGGAAATTACATTTATTAGAGAAGTTGTACATTTTAGGAGCTGATAACAACAGCAGCAAGTTTTTTTACATTACATAGATTTGAAGGGAACAAAAAAAAAACACTGAAAACTGTTAACATTAATTGTAAAGGATTAAGGAATTTTGTGCATACATTAGAAAATCATCCTCAAAAGGTTAGTTAAAACTATGATTTTAAATTTAGTAATGCATACATCTTGGTTTTCCAGTTTGACTTATTTTCTGTTAATTCATTGGAACACTAGCAAATTTTTTGAAACAATGTATATGTAAACATGGAACATTTTCTACAGAATAACATATTACTGGAAAAAATTGCCACTGGTTATTATTTATCATTTACATTATTTAGAGGAAATAAATTATTTATTTATTATAATTTACATATATAATTTAAAGGTTATGATTTAAAGCCAAAAGTGTAATAAAAATAAATTACACATAAAGGCATTTCTTAGAAAAGTTCTGTATCATAGAGAATAAATGCTTGCTAAAATTATGTAAATCGAAGATAACTATGATTTCTAGGTTTCAAAAAACTGTCTAGCTACCTTAAGTATTTTGATTATCAACCATAATTTTAACAATCTGTGCTTAATCAATGGTTCCACTTGCAATCTCCATTCTTGATAGAACTGTGTGTTGTGGGCATCATAGGTGGCACCCATGTAACAATTTTTTCCCTTGCTCTCACTGGTTATATAGAATCATTTACCTGTGAATTGTGACAACATGAGATTCTCTGTCCCTGTTCCCTATAATTGGCTGGCACAGAGAGACACACACACAATGGGAAGATGTCAGACCACAGGGTGAAAGAGAGAGCCCAGTGTGGTTACCGGTGTACGTGCATGAATGCATGCATCTCTCTGTAAACATAAAATTAGAAAGGATATACAGAATGTATACTCTCCCTCCTAAAACTTACTCTTTTCTAATCTGTATGCTTGTAGCTAAGCTGAAAATTGGCATTCAGCATCAGATTGGAAAATGGATTGCACATGCTTTTGATCCATATGAATTTGTAAAAATTGGAAATATTTTCATATAATGATTCTCCATTGTTAAAGACTTCCTGCAAGTAACGACACCAATACTCATACAGTCTTTCTTACTTTATATTACAGTGTCCCAACATTCCAGAGCCTCCCTGAAGAAATACTCAGTAAGCTTGCTGATGTTCTTGAAGAGGTATTTAATTTTAATTTGGGGGCATAGTATGAGGACTGAAGTAGCAAGTCTATTCTTGAAAAAGTATTTTGACCTAAACCATCCAATAGTTTGTTTACTGAGATGCCACTGCTGAAGTAGAATAACTTCATTCTAGCATTTATGGCACACATTATGGTTTATGTTGTCCTGTGGGGGTGGGGCTGAGGAATTAGGGAAAATGTGTCATATTCTACTTTGGTAGGGTTCCTTTTTTCTAGGATGTACAAAATTTATATTTTTCCCTTACGTTTTATTTACATAACACCTGAAGACTATAGCAGCCATAATTTTCATTTATGTGGAGATTATTTGCCAAACTCTAACCTCAACCCAGTTGGATTTAGGCACAGACTTGAGGCTTGTAACTGAGTTTTTGAAATAGGATTTCTCACAATGGATTCTGCAGTTCCCAAGCTTCTTGGCTGATGCTTAGGGACCTGAGGTTGAAGTCTGCCATCCCCGTCACTCCTGCCAGTTTGCCTTCCATTGCCTTGCAAGATAAGCTTGAACAGCAATTATGGAGGGATTATGGATTTTTCTTAAGAGGTGGACAGGAGTAGTACAATAAATAATAAATAAATCGCAACATCTCCTCTGGACTTGTTCTTTGCAAACTCTCACAGATAGAAATTGAATTGATTATTAAGAAAGCCCACAGGAGTGTACCTGTCACTGTATCCGATGGATTTGTCAGCATAGTGTTTGGCTTGGCTCAGCCTGTAATGTTGTGTATGTATTTGAGCTAGTGTTTCATACTAGTGCTGCTCTAAGTTAGGCTGACTGGAAAGCATGGATGGTCCAGGTGGAGATTGGTTTGGGGCCATAGACATTGTGACCAGTTAATGATGCCAGGCAATTCTGTCTAATTAACCTTTTCAGTCAATTATTTAATGGAGATGAAGCTTAGTGTGCTTCAAAATATTTTGACTTGAGGCAGGTCCTCTGCTTTGGTGTTCTTGAAATGAATGCTTGTTCTACTGACAGTAATAGAGTAAGTGCTTTGTTTTTCTCCATTACTCTTGAGCTGTATGCCTTCCTTCTGCTCTATAGTTTTACCACCTGTCAATTGAATTTTGATGAGCAAGGTTTCATATAATCCCTTGCAATTAAGATATACTGCTACTAGAATGTTGATGAAACATTTCTAATGATCCTCAGGTCCTGTGGAATGTGGGAAAACTTGTGCTTGCTCATTCAAAATGTATTAAATCCATATTAATTTCACACCAAGCAACTTGTGAATGCTGTGAATGTGATTTGTCTGTTTAATTAGTGCTTTTGCACCTGCAAAATTACATGCCAGCAAGTCCTGTAGGCACAATTAATGGCCAATAATATGTCATCTTGCATGCATTAATTATATGTGTTAATCTATACATGAAAAACATGCTCTGTTCTTGTTATTACAGATTTTCACAGGCATTTTATGTACACTAGCCAATATTAAGGTGATGAAATACCATAATTTGAGCTTCCATCTCACTTCACATGGATGGTTTTTGATAGTTTAAAGCAACCTTTTATACTTGACTTTCATAAATATGTATCTGTTGTCTTTTTCTGCTTTATGAATTGTGCTTATTTTCTAGCACATGGACAAATTAGGCATTTAGCATGAAAATGATGTCTTTTTCTTGGGGTGTTTTACCTTCAGCTATGTGAAGTGGGAAATGACAATTTGGAAAGAGAGCTTAAAATAGACTGTTGCTTTTTAAAAGCTAGGCACATCAGAGAAGCGGCAAGTCTGCAGAAGCAAGCTATCAGTTATATGCGAGCTTAGCTCTAAACAACAGATAACTGCAAGCTCAAAATAATTTCATATGGACTTCAAATGGACAAGTCCATACAAATACTTCCCATTGCTACGTAAACCTTAAAATATTGTGGATTGATAAATGAGCCATAACAATATGAAATTATAGGTTTTGTGCATAAAAACTTTCCAGGCCCTAAGTACCTGTTATAAACAGAAGCTGATGGAAACAACTCAATTTAAAGTGTTATTAATGAAAACAACAACCCCAATTAATGACCATGATGCTTAGCCAGCTGAAATCGAGTATGGTACTGGGAGATGGGACGAATTTACCTTGGGATCATTTTATTTATAAAATACATTCATTAATTTTAATGTATCCATGTGATTGTAAACTGTGGTGGTATTTTAGGCATTAGAAGAGGATAAGTTTGCAGTCAGTTTGAAGACAAGGGAGATGGTAGGCTAAGAAACAAGGTTATATAGATTCTCCCTACTTCCTATTGCAGGGGAAAGAAGAGACACACTTCTTCCTGAGTATACCCTGGAGAGCACTCTAGAGTTAGACCATGGCAGGGCCTGTAGCCAGGGGTGTCAGATGATACAGCTTCACTCTACAGTGTGGTCCCAGTGTTTCCAAACTGGACAGTTGTATACTCTTCCTTGAAGGGCTTGCTGGATCAGACAAAGGGCTGTTACAACGTGTGTGCAACTGGATTTGTTTGCTAGTATTTTCCTGTTCCCTCCTCTGTAATATCTAGTTTAAGCTTACTCAATGTCATGATGTTATTAGGCTGTTATTAAGACCCACTAAAACTTCTTGTTCTTGGCTGCTGTTGCTGGAGAAAGGAAATATGTAGCTTAATAATATGAGAATATGAGTAATGTGGCTTCATTCCTGTTGGGCTTTAGAGAGGTATTAAAAATGCATCATTTTGCCAGGCCTTTGATATTTTAAAATTGTACTTATGTCTTTGCTTTGGTTTTTGTTGTGATTTCATGTACCTTACTGGAGTGTCCCAGTGGGTGGAAAAGTTTTATAAATGTGTGTGTGTGTGTGTATACTTTGAAACAAATAATAAATAAGCAAGGCCAAATCTGAAAATATGGGGGAAGGCAGCAGTCTGGTGTTCTGTGTAATGTATGGTTTAGTCCTAGTCTGGGATACAGATCCTAAACAAATTGGGCACCATTATCCACAAGACGTTTACACCAGCTGTATAGTGGTATCTGTATCTTTTAGCATTGACAATCTGCTGTGTTTACATTGCAGAACAAATAGTCTAGAATTGGAGAAAGTGAAACTGAATCACAAGTTGCTCAGGTCATCACAGGCTTATGTTTGTAACATTAAATCCTGGCTTAGCACTATGTGCAAACCAGGCCGATACTACTTTGTTAAATCAGCCCAAAATCACTCTTGTGCCACATGCTCCTTCTAGCAGGGGCTAACCAAGCATTTTTGGAAACTCCCAAGCAGAGAAGAAATGTGATGACCACATCTTGTTCTTCTGTGAGTCTGGTTCTGCTGTATATAGAACTTCCATTTAACTGGGGTGGCTTAATAGTTTCTGACAGATCATCTTGCATATGGCCACTGCTAAAATTGCTGGTGCTAAATTCCGTAGATTCATTATATATTAAAATGTTTCATACTCCTTCAACCTTTCTGGCATCCTCCTTAAACATTTATAAACTGTCAATATAACCTTATCAGTGTATCTTTACTTGAAAGTTAGCCCTAGGTGGAAGATGCCTCTTCTCACAGCTGCTGATACTAACTCCCCTAGCAGATAGGTGGGTTTTGGCCATGTCTCTACAGCCAAAGTCTTGCCCAGGTCCACAGCACTATCTCTTCTGGTACAGGGAAGACAGGGAATCTTCCTGTTGAACGTGGTTCATTCCAGCAGCTTATAATACGGGACCACACAGAAGTTCCAGCTAACTAGCTGGAGTGGGGAATGAACTGGTCTTGCCATCCAAGTTGCTTCCTCTCCCATTGCTAAGTTTAATGCCTAGTGATGGAGAAGATGTTTCATACTGAAACAAAGACAGTTTCAGACTGTTTGAAATAATATAAGGGAGCTGGTGTCCAGAACACTTTACAGTGTTGTGCAACACTATACACAACAAAGGACCAAGCAAATTGTCCACACAATGGTGGGAGAGAAGTGCTTTCAAGAACAAGCCAAATGTTGAAAGCTGTATGTGCACGGTATTGTGTGCACAAGTTCTATCATGTGTATTCTTTGTTTGCATGTACTTTATATACAAAGCAAAGCTAGCACTTTACTCTTGAGAGAAAAATCCAAAGTTGGGAAATACCTTTATTAGGATGAACCATATTTCAACTTTCCAGATCACTTCATCAGAGCTGATGATGAAAAAGCAGGAGGTGAGGAAGGAAACAGAAAAGTTAAAAACTAGGATAGATGTAATGTCCATGAGGTTCAGATAGACCTGAGCTTCAAAAAGAATAACGCAGACAGAACAAATTAGGATGCAATCCTAGGTACTTTTGGGCAGAAAAAGTACTAAAACAATTATGTCTAAACATGTGTAGAATTAAAGCCTTAGTCAGTGTAATCTGATGTCTGCAATACTCAGCACCCAGAATGCACTTTGGGAAAGAGAAGCAACAACTGTTGGTTTCCATTTCTGAAAACACAATATGTTCTACATATTTTCTCAATGCAGTATCATCAGTCCACTCTTATTAAAAGTTTCTAAGACCTCTGTGCAGTAAAAGGTGCTATAGAAACAAGACAAAATCCTAAAGTGTTTTTCCCACCAACTCTGTAGACCCTGAATCTATCCTCTGAAATTTTACAAATTTCTTCCTAAGGGCACTTCTGTGATGCCTATCAGTTTCAAACAAACTGACCACATTCAGAATAACTCAAGGGGAAAAATTAATATATCCTTGAAACCACTCAAACTAATGGGGTTGTTCTTTCAGAAATCCCCTGCACCTACCTGTCTGAAATCTAACAGTTTGCATCTTGTTGTAAGAGCTAACAGTGCCTTCAAATTCATCCGATTATGTGCATAGAAGTTCCCTTAAAAACAAATCTATATCTAAAAGCACCTAGTCTCTCCCACCAAAATCCCTGCACAGATATTTCTGAAATTCTGTTCTCTCAGAAGAGGCTACTATACCTGCAGATATCATCAAATTCTGAAAAAAGCAATATAAAGTATCATCATGTACTGATTTCCAATT